TGGGACAGTGGGAGGTGTCCCTGCCATGGCAGGGGTGGCACTGGATGATGTTTAAGGTCTCTCCAACTGAACCATTCAATGGAATTCTCATTCTCATGTAAGAGAAACGCTGACTGGGATTCAACCTGAAGTTGTAATGAGTTTGAAAAGCTTCCATGCAGATTTTTGGATAAGGGTTCCTGTCATTGAAAAAGGGACTTTTAAATTTACTGGGCAGGAGGGATTAATTGGGAATAAAACGAGGTTGTTAGAGGCAGCCCATCGTGTGTCCACATTTCTTCCAAGGGAGAGCTGTGGTTTGTGATCTGTGACACAGGATGCAAAGGCAATGGTGATTTGGTTAARAAGTAGTTATTAATGATTGGTAGGACACCAAAAGATGGGTTTTGATGGGAAATCAGTGCCTTGTGCATCAGGATTAATGGATTAGTCCTGGCCTTGTTTTTTCCTGCTCTCTGCCAGTCCCAAAGTGTCCCAGAGACAGCCTGACTCAGATATAGCAGTTCTGAGGGGTTTGTCCTGGTAGCAGGGAGCTGCCAGGCCCTGCTCCTGTGTCTCCATCACTCCCTGTCAGTTTTCAGTCCTGATGGATGTGCCCACAGCTCTCTGTTTCCCCTGTGTTGTGCAGGCTGGCAGTGAACAACGTCACCATGATGGGCACCGTGCTCAAAATGACCGACCGCAGCCACCGGCAGAAGCTGCAGCTCAAGGCTCTGGACACGGTTCTCTTCGGGCCTCCTCTTTGTGAGTACCCCAATTCCAGCTGGTGGGCTTGCCAGAGGCCTGGGATTCCCTCGTTTGTGGGGTAAAACATTCCTGTGGGGCTGCTGCTGTGGGATGAGGCACTGAGGGCAGTGGCTGCGCTCCCAGGGAAGCTGCTGCCATGTCCTGGGGCTCTGTCCTGTCCTGGGCTTTCCTGGGGCTCTGTCCTGTCCTGGGCTTTTCTGGGGCTCCAGCAGCCGTGCCCTGGGGCTGTGCTGTTGATTGAGGCTGTGATTACTCACCTTTGGAGGAGGGAAGGAGCAGCAGGCTGGATGGGGAGGAATTTAGGATGGCTGATAGGAGGAACTGGGCTGCTTTGATGCTTTATGGGATCTCCAGCTGTCTGATGCCTATCTCCTGCTCCAGGTGCTCTCTTTGCATCTGTTCCCTCTGGCTMCTGTCTGCTCCCCATTCAAGGTGCTGTTGTCTCTCTCCCTCCCTGCCATGGCTTTTTCCTGGGCTGCCTGTGCTGGGGGACCAGCACGGGAATTCCGGCATCCCAGTGCTCATGGCCAGGGCATTTGTGGCCTCTCCCACACCAGCACCCCAAAGTCCTTCTCCTCAGGGCTGCTCTSGARCCATTCCCTGCCCAATCCTGGGAAAACTGCCCGTGCCCTGTGAACCACTGCCTGAGGCTTGGCAGAGCCATAGGAAGGGAATCACAAGCCTGGCTTGTACAATCAGACGTTTTTGCTCACGTTTACTGAAAATCCTCTTTTTATGCMGGCACGGTTTGGTTTTTATTTACTGTCCATGTTAAAAATGAACCTTTTGGTGTGTTGGGGGCCTGGCCAGGGCTGGTGGAGCCATCCTGGCTGAGCTCCTCCAGCAGCAGCTCCAGCCCAGCAGTTCCTGTGCTGGGAGCGGAATTTTTTCAGGCTCCTTGTTTGCTGTGTAAATGGCAAAGTGAATGGCTTGTAGTGGCTTGAGATTAATGGCTGTTGTGCACGCTGGAGCTGTTCCGTGCTGCCCTGCGGCTCTGCAGTCTGACCCTCCCTGGGTCACTGAGATCAAAGTGTGCAGGGAACCGTCCCGCTCGACTGTTCCACATCACAGGGGCTGCTCTCTGTGCCTGGAAGGGTTCCAGCTGGGCTGGAGCAGCCTGGGCTGGGGGAACATGTCCCTGCCCACAGCACAGGCTGGAATGGGATGAGCTTTAAGGTCCCTCCYAACCCAAAGCATTCTATGAATCTGTGACTGTCTATGTATTGGATATGTGAGTAGAGGAAATACACTTTTAAATCTGCAGCTGAGGGAGAGATTGGTCCCTTTCCTGAAGGTAAAATTTGCTGGTTTCTGGTCACCTGAATGGCTTTGTCTCCAGTCACAGGGAGAGGTTGTTTATCTGAACCGATTCCTTCAGGAATGGATTGCAAAACACCTTTCAGGAGCCACCAGCAATCGGCAGCTTCGAGAAGCACTCTGTGACATTTTCAGCTRCATTTTCAGAAACTGCTTTTACACYRTGGTGATGGGGTGATTTCAGACRTGTTCCTGCTCCAGCTCCTTTCCCATGGTCAGGGGAGGTGGCTCTGGGGGCTACAGGGGCTCTGCAGGGCAGCAGCGATCTGGGGGTGTCCATGGTGAGAGGGAGCTGAGCTGCTGGCAGGGCTTGGTGAGTTTCAAGGCTTTTGTCTCCTCTCCTGCGTTTCTCTTCAGCACAGGTAAAAAGCCCTGTATAAAAGCAGCATAGATTGGAGCCCAGGACTCCTGCAGGCTCTTCAGTGCAGACACCCCTCTGGCCGTGGGGATCMCAGCAGGTGGACATGCTGCTGCTCCTGCTGCTGGGGGAAGCTTTTTCTGTCCTAGGGCTCCAGGCTCGGATGTCTGGCTCGTGGCAGAGGTTTCAGCCCCTTTCCATGGCCGGTATCCAGTGGATCTGCAGGTTCCTGCCATCCCACCAGGTCTGGTTCCCGCTGCCAGACTCCAGCCTTGCCGTTCCCTGTGGCAAACAGGTCTGACCACTTCAGCTCTGTAATTAACCCAAGTGCAAGGCAGCACGGTGCAATTACAGCCAAAGCAAGATGAAGCGAYTCCTTCTGTGTCTGTCCCTCTGGGGTCCTGTTCCTGCGGGTCAGGAATTTATGTTACACACAATAGCACAACTTCAGGTGAAACATGGAATCCCACAATGGTTTGGGTTGGAGGGACCTTAAACATCATCCAGTGCCACCCCTGCCATGGCAGGGACACCTCCCACKGTCCCAGGCTGCTCCCAGCCCCAATGTCCAGTCCGGCCTTGGGCACTCAAAGGGATCCAGGGGCAGCCACAGCTTCTCTGGGCACCCTGTGCCAGGGC